TTCGGCTCGTTTATTCACTCAGCTGCCTTTGGCAGCTTTGTGAATCACTCTGTCAGTATGTTTTCTTTCTAGATTGAATGTAATTTCAGGTAAATACCTCATCATGGCCACTAGATGGTGATGAGGAGCATAGCAAATAAATACTTGTTTCCTATGTTCCTCAGCTCCATCTAGTGGCCATAATATGGTATATACCTTGCATTACATCATTACTGTGCGAGTGGAGACAAAAAGGGATTTATTAGTATATTTTGTTTCCAGATCAAATGCAATTTCAGAGAAATACCTCACTATGGCCACTAGATGGCAACGAGGAGCAGAGCAAATAAATACTTATTTCCTGAGCTCATCAGCTCCATCTAGTGGACATAATATGGTATATACAATATATGATTACTGTGTGAGTGGAGGCAAAAAGGGTACAAAATAACAAAATACAAACAAAATATATTATATTAACAAACAAAATATACTAATAAATATTAGTATATTTTGTTTCCAGGTTGAATGTAATTTCAGTTAACTTCCACATCATGGCCACTAGATGGAGCTGAGGAGCATAGTAAATAAATGCTTCTTTCCTGGGCTCATTAGCTCCATCTAGTGGCCATAATGTGGTAGTTACCTGAAATTACATTCAACCTGGAAACAAAACATGCTACTAACAAGCGTATATTCAGAGAGAATGAATGGCTCTCAGAATTGTTTGTAAATACAACTCATTTAAGGTAATGCTCATTTACACCTGTTCAGCAGCATGTCTGGTGGATTTCCAAATGTTTTTTTCAAGTGCTGCACTATGAGTGAGGTAGGCACTTTATAAATACAGCCGAATAACTACTATGGCTGCGTACGTTTAAAGTAGATCTCCTGTATTTTTTTTTAATTCAACAGAGAATTTCAAACAAAAACAACAAAATAAAAATCAATAGCCCATTAAAAGACTGACAAAGCCAACTTTTGCTTCAATATTCACCTTCAACTCCCCGCAGTACTTTATTTCTATTGCTAGATGTCCTCAGTCTGATGGCCAGTATCATTTACCCACTTCCTCTGAGCCCAGATCATCCTGGACCCTCCCCCAGCCTTTGACTGGACAGTAGGAGAAGCAGCAGAGTGATGAGCTAATCTCTCTGTCACTCTGCCATCTCCTCCTATCAGAATGGTTCTTGTCAGTGCATGAAATGATAGGCTTCTTGTGCTGCTTCTTTAACTCACACTCCAGCCCGGCTGTACAGGGGCTGCAAAAGGCTGATATCAGGTCAAATTCAGCTACTTACACTGGTTGCGATAAAAAAAAAAAAAAAATATGATTTATGTGTTAATGACTACAGAGCTGTGTTGATTTTTGGATGAGTAAAAAAAAAAAAGAAATGAATATTTTTTTAAATCAATTAACGCTTTACCAAGTGCAGAAACACAAAAACAAACCTAAATCAAATCCTGAGGAGCACGGTGCATCTCTGTGTATTATAAATGTGTGTTTTTTTGTTTTTTAAACCAGAGCTATGGCTGCCGTAAGGCACAGCAGCTGCTTTATAACTGTAGGTTAAAATTGGGGATGAATTGCTCCACAGTGATTGCAGCTACAGAGGTCAGTGAGGGCCTGTTTTAAAGCTTATCGTGAATAGGAATATGTAAATAGTTGAACGTCCATAGCCCGGTCACTCTTTGGCCGCCACTATCTCATTACAGGCTTTCTTTAAAGCCCAAATGAAGATTAAAGATGATTGCCCTCATCCTCTTCCCACCCGGTACCATACTTGCCCTGGCCACACAGCCTTCTCCTTTTGTGCTGGCTTCTCTCTTTATATCTTTATGTGCTGGATTGGGGCTGAAGTTAAGCATGTTACCAAGGGGGCTACACTTGGGGGTTAGGGGGAATGGTAATTAAGTCTGCTGGTTGTTAATTGCAGCCTGTTGCCTTTGCCTTCACTTGTGCTGCAAAACAGTCTAATGTATTTAGAAGTCAAACTGCTTCCCGGGAGAGTCCAGCCTGGGCTTGGTGCAAACCCAGTTCGCCTGCATTTACCCAAGCCCGCGCAAAACTGTGATGGCCACACCCTCCGCCCGGCCCAATCAGTTGCAGAGGGATGCATTGCCCAGCCTGTAGGTATACATCACAGAGGTGTGTGGAATGCCCCCCACAACTGCCACCACTGAGTGGCTGGGAGTAGGTGGTAGTGGTTAGAGTTTTGATTGTGCTTGGGCGAGCCAAGTCCAGGCTCCCCTCTACCGGGAAGCAGATTGACTACTAACTACATTGGACCTATTTGCAAAACTGTGGAATGTATGTAAATTTCTGTTTGAGCTTCAGTTGATTGGGCTATGGCTTTTCCCCATAGTTCTCCTAAAGGGTCACGGGAGGACGCAAACTAGCATCCTCCCATCACCCTAGGCTCAGTATACCGCGAGCTACAGCTCGCGGTATACTGAGACGCCGCAGCCGGAACAGATCCCGACAATGCTGTCTGAATCCACCTAGCTGCATGAGTGACAGCTGGCTCTGCAGAGCCAGCTGTAACCGCCCCCTCCCCGTCTGTTCCGCCAGTCATCGCTGGAGTATCGGACAGGGGAGGGGGGGAATCCCTGCAGGGAGCCTAAGTGACAGTCACGGCTCTCTGCGCGGATAGATCGAGAAGTGAGCGAACGCCGGTATGTGTTCGCTCACTTGCCGATCTACTGAGCCGACCTGTGACAGTCTCATTGTCACAGGTCGGCTCAGATTATGAGGCTGAGTGAAAATCACTCGCCTCATAGTTCTCCTTTAAGCTTCAGTTGCGTTTTAGAGCAGGGCGTTCACAGACAGCAAACTATTCTGGGTGCCTGCGTAAAGAGAGCAGCCAAAATGAATATGATACTTCACAAACGGCATTATTGATAAACTCTATATAGAGTTCTAAACAACTTTGCCCTTGGAAACTATAGCAAGGTTACAATTTTAAAGTTGAAGGCCTTCTTTAATTTTTTTTTTTACGTCACCTGGGAACTTTTATTTACACGTTGGTACAATTTATTAAATGCATTTCAATTCTTTATATATTCTATGTAATAGCCATTTAATGTTGAACAGGTTTGACTATCTGATCCCCAGCCTTTGTTATGAAAGCCCATTTATATTCTACTCATAATTCTTTTGCCGTAAATCAGTAACCAGTCAGTTTCTATGCTAGATAACTGTCCCCCTGAGGGAAACATATAAATGATGGTGTACCTTGGAATGGGGCTTTAAATACACAATAGACAATACGTGTGATTAATTTCCCAATGCACTAACAATGAACTGACTGAAGCATGTGTTATATTATCACTCCCATCATTGTAGAGCAGTGGTTCTCATGCTGTGTAACCTCAGGACCCACATTTGTCCTTGGACATTAAGCCGTGACCCAAGTCGCACAGCAATGGAACGCACAGGGTTGCGGTACCGCATGCTCCAAAGCGGGCGATCGAACTGTGGGTAGGAGGTGTGTGGGATGACATTCAAAAGATCCACCCAGTCTCCATAGCTTACAAGAGCTGGAGTTGATCCTCAGCTTGGGGTCCAGTGTGGGCTGCTGTGCTATGATTGAGCTCCATCCATATGTGTGCCCTGTAGAGGTGCCGGGAACCAGAATGTGACATCACTCCGGTCCAGGCACCTCTACAGGGCACACAAGGGAGTTGTACGTATGGATGGAGCTCCCTCGCGGCCATAGCCCCAACCCATCCCACCTCAAACAGACACTTGGCCCCCGGGCAGCATATTTTGAATGGCTGCTTGGCAAGAGAACTGACAGGAGGAGCTGAGGAGCCTCTCCCCTAGCACAGTGGAAGGCACACCGCGACCCACTGAACACCCACCAGTTGAGAACCGAGTTGTAGAGAATGCTACACTATTAAAGGGGCACTCCAGGTAATAAAAAAGGATAATTTTTTTTATCAAAGTGTAAAATGTTGTCTTTTGAGGTGCAGACAGTTTTAGGTTCTGGATGGATGATTCACCCTGATGTGTAAGATTCCTTTTTGAGAAATTATTTCTTAAAGTGCAACTGAAGCCCAACTTTTTTTTTTTAGTCTTTGGATAGAGAGGAGAGGGATTAGAACTCTGGTCAGGGTTGTTTTGCTCTCTGTGTCCCTGGAGGGATGAGGCATCTCCGGAATATATGGAGGATTGATCACCATCAAAGTGAGAATGACCCGGGAAAAATTAAAGATAACACGGGACTCTGTAGCAGCTGGTAATTTTTTTGTATCCTGCTTCCTGAAATCTGTTCAAAATCGACAATTTGAATATTATTTTTATGTTGTAGGAAAAAGAGTTGTCCCAAATGCCTTTCCTATTTTTGAAGGAATGGAGGTGTGTCAGAGGTCGGTGATAAGTTAAAGGAGAACTATAGGGTTAGGGCTTTTCCCCATAGTTCTCCTTAGGGTAACGGGAGGACACAAACTAGCGTCCACCCGTCACCATAGGCTCAGTATAGCTACAGCTCGCGGTATACTGAGATGCCGCAGCTGAAGCGGATCCCGACAATTATGTGTGACCCCTCCCAGCTGCGAGAGTGACAGCTGGCTCTGCCTATCTAGAGGCAGAGCCAGCTGTACCCGCCCCTCCCCTGTCACGGCAGAGAGCCGTGACAGGATAGAGAAGTGAGTGAACGCCGGTATGTGTTCGCTCACCTCCCGATCTACTGAGCCGACCTGTGACAGTTTCATTGTCACAGGTCGGCTAGAACTATGAGGTGAGTGAAAAGCACTCATCTCATAGTTCTCCTTTAAGTCTTTTCATTGCACTGTGACTGTGAATATTCCTTAGTAAATCAGGCCCGCTGACTACGGCCTGACATTACAGAAGAGTTTTGTGCCTGTAAATGATGCATCTTTTAGCCTGGGTGCGAAGAATATACAATATGTAGTAAATGATAAGGACAGAGAAAAGCGTAGTCGTACTAATCATTATCGCTGATAAATATTGGGGGATTTGCACTCAGAATGCATTCCGATAGTCATTCTCTCCATACCGTTACACAAGGAGATTCCTCTAGGGGGCGGTAGCTTGGGACGCCTTGCTTCACCACTGCCAGTAACAGGATGAGATATTGGAGCATGGCTCTGTTTTGGGAAAAAACAAACAAAAAATAACTTTTTAAGCACAGCTTTGCAACTTTATTAAAATAGAAGTCAACAAAGAAACATACACCACTTTAGGATTTGAAAATCTGGTTCTTAAACTGGATCCAAACCCTAACGGGTTGACAATATGCGGCTGATGTAGAAAGCTTCTGCCCAGCGTACAGTGCCACTCGCACAGGATTGCTACTACGAGATGGAGGCCCAGGAGTGTGAGGATCTCCAATGCTCCAGGGCTCCATCTAGTGGCAAAAATGATGTGCGAACGGCATTCACCCAGCTCTATGCTGTGTAGACATTTTATACATCATCTCCTATATATAGAGTTGTGCTGACGTCATTCACCCAATCATGTGCTAGCAATTTTCTTTTTTCATTACATGATTGGGTATACATTTTTACTTTAATTTAACTCATTCACCAAGAGAAAATGTACTTTTAATGGAAAAATACTATTTTTTTAATGAATCAGGTTCTCTCCCATCCTCTGGAACGCTTTACCCCAACCTGTCCGACTATCTCCCACCCTGACTGTCTTTAGGCGTTCCCTGAAGACTCTTCTCTTCAGGGAAGCCTATCCCTCCTCAACCTAACCACTGAACCATCACATTCTCAAACAATTCATCCCCACACAGCTCCCTCCTCATGTATCATTTCCCCCTCCCTTTTAGATTGTAAGCCCTCAGCGGCGGGGCCCTCCTTACCATTTTGTCTTGAATTTTATTGTAATTGTAATGTCTTCCTTACATTGTAAAGCGCTGCGCAAACTGTTGGCGCTATATAAATACTATGTAATAATAATAATAATATGTATCCTATACAGCTGCCATGTTTTTTTTTTTTTACATAGAATACGGTTGTAACCTCTATCAGCCACTTCCTGTCCACATGCACTCCCTCAGGCATTGGCTGCACCTTTTACTTTTCCATCCGAAAATATATATTCATTGCTTTGGACCGACTTCCTGATAATGACAACGGTGGACCATGCCTGTGGAATGTGTGTCGGTACAGCTTCTTGTAGTCTCCGCCAGGAGAGCATGTGACAAGGTGACAATGCAGGAGCACAACTGGGAAACAATTGTCACCCTATAACAGGAAGTGCCTGAACAAGAGCCTTAATGGCAGGATCACCTGGTATTCTTTTAATAAAAGCTGCAGATTTAAAAAAAACAAACATTGATACTTAGAGGATATATAAATTAAGAATTTTTTTTTGTCGCAAATGCTTAGCTCACTTCGATATTAGCCGGAGACATCCCCTGGTCCCCTGGTCCACCATTCTTCAGGGAAATGTGTTTCATAATGCAAGTCTATGAGTAGGCTGACTCACTGAAAAGAATGCACTCCCTGTGCGGCATATAACGTTACAGGCTAAACAGCATACATGGGGAAATCAAGGAATTTTTTTTCTTGTTCGGTGCGCAAGGCTCAACAATAAAAAGATTTAGTCAGTTTTAGTGAGGGGAAATATTCCTAACAGAGTCCCAGATAGCAAACGCCCCCCCCCCCCCCCAAAAATAATGTGCCCCCTCCCACCCAAACACCCCCCCCCCCCCCCCCCCCCCAAAAAAAAAAACCCAAAACCAAAACAAAACGGGGGTTCAAATTCTTCCCCTCTCTATCCAAAACCACAATACAAATGTAAGTATAACATATAGAATGTGAGTTGATGGGGGTCCCAAAGAGTCCTGGCCAGAGTTAAGGAAACTGAATTGAGTATCCACTCATGTAAGAGTGTGGGGTCAGGAGCATCTCCTTTGGTCCAGGATCTGGAGGGTCCCAGTGCCTCCTGGTTTGAACAGGTCTAGCTGGTCTGGACATGGGCTGGGAAGGCAGTGAACCCGCGGTGTCAAGTGCACCCTGGGAGTGGTGCCTTGGGGGTGCTCTAGTAACATTATGGACTTGGGAACCCAATGTATGAAAGGCACTCACTCCACGACACCACTTGCTTTTTCTGCTCCTTGCCTCTTGGCTAGGCCTAATGCAGGGATGTGCGGTCAGGGGAGGCAGGTGGGACAGAGCCTCACCTAGTATTATGGAGGAAAAAGCTGTCAGCTTAAAGTCTGAATGGCGGGGGGGGGGGCGGGACGTGCTGGGGGCGAGGCTGGGGAATGCCTCACCCAGCACTAGAGGTACCGCATGCCACTGGCCTAATGGCTAAGACCAGGGGACATTTTTTATACCTAGCCATTGTCACATTGGCACTTATTTATTTTTCTCACTTGTCTGTGCACTTCACGTTTTATACGTGTGCTTTTTTAACTTCACAGGATGGAGGGTGTGGGCCTTTAGGCCTGCCCTAAAGTCTAGGAGGAGGATGTGTGGCCATCAGGTTCCTTCCTCCCCTGAACCGGGGGTCTCCCTTCGGGGGAGCCCCCCAATCTACTTGGTGGTCGGCTTTGGCTGACCAAGAGGAATGGGCACATCTGGCTTTGGCTAGGTGGACACGAGTGCTCTGCCCCTGTGAGGAGCCTTGCTAGGGTTGCCTCCTGTCCAGGATTCACCCGGACAGTCCGGGTTTTGAATGCTGTGTCCGGGTTTCATGTCAGCAGAAACCCGGACACAAGATGTCAGGCAGACAGGGGCAACCAAAATTAAGATAGGGGGTACTGCCCTCCCCCCTGAAAATAGTCTCAACTGTGATATTTACATACGAATGGGCGGCGCTATTTACATATGAATAAGCCACGACTCATTCTCCCCCATAAATGTCGGCACGTCGCTAGAGTGTTCGGGTTTCACTTGAAGAAAAGGTGGCAAGCTTAAGCCTTGCGCCCCAGGGGGGTCAGGAATAGGGCCCTATCCCTTTGGGAGACACACCCTAGTGCATCCTAGTATCCACTCGCACTTTTTTGTTCACTATGGTATAAAGTTTTTGCACATCTGCTGCTTGGGGCGGGGGACTTTAAAACATTTTTTGTGTAATTTTTTTTAATTATTATTTGTGAATATTTTTTTTTAGCTTCTTTATTTTTTTTAATGCTGTAATTTTTTTTTTTCACTTTTTTTAGACAACTTTATTGCTATAACATTTTGTATGTAAACAGCCATCGCTGGCTGTTTACATGCTCACAGTTTTCCCTCTCGTGTGCGCGCTGAGTGCCGCACACGAGAGGGGGGAGGGGCAGGACGTCTTAAGACGCCCTCCCGCTCCTAGCAGACGTCCGTCCGGCCGTTCACAAACGGCCATGGACGGAAGGTGGTTAAAAAAAAATTTAAATATAGAATGTGAACAAAGCAATTAAAAAATATCAAAATTCAAGGAAAACATTACAATCGAAACTCAAAATATTTTCTTGCTGCAAACAGTCAACACTGAAAAATGTCAAATATTTTTATTATGTTTATTTGTCTTTTGACCGGGCTGTGACCCGGGAGATACACAAAGGAGGGAGTTCATGGATGGTGCTTTCATAAGGAAAGTCGCGCTTATCATTTTTTTCTGTTTATTTCTTTTATAACGAATGTCCTTCATGGAGAGCTTTTGTTTCAGCATTGCTTTATTTTCCACTTGGAAAGTTTCTTTGTTTTCACTTTGTCTTCAAGGGGAATTCCTGTTTGCATCAAACAACACTTAAAGGAGAACTATGAGGTGAGTGATTTTCACTCACCTCATAGTTCTAGCCGACCTGTTTACCGCGAGCTGTAGCTCACAGTATACTGAGCTTAGGGTAACCCTAAGGAGAACTATGGGGAAAAGCCCTGACCCCATAGTTCTCCTTTAAAGTGGACCTTGCAGCAAATATACACTTTGCATCATTCTAATCCCCCCTCCACAATATAAAAAAGCTAACTTTTTCAATGTTTGTTATTCTTTTATTTTTTAAGAATTATTTTTAAACATAATATATTATTATTTTTATATTTTTTGGGGGTGTTTTTTTTAATATTTTAAACACAATTCTCCTGTAGCCTCCTGGGATACTCACATCACACATCCCAGGAGGCATCATCCTCCACTCCGCACAGAAGTCAGAGATCTGGTGCCACAGAATCAGGGAGACGGCTGCAAGAGCCACGAAGAGATAGTCAGCTCCCAATGAAGTAAGAAAGAGATGGTGGTGCAGCAGAGGAGCTACAACTTTACAACTCTGGATTCACTGGCCATGTAGGAATATTTATTGAGCATTACACACTAAAAATGCTTAAATGGAAATTGAACATCATGAAAAAAATAAAAGCACTGCCTGTGTGGCTGATATGCTCTCTCAGACATTGCACTGAGCCGGTGAGAGCTCCCTCTAGTGTCTAATCTATAATCTCCATATTTAGTACAATAAAACCAGCACAGGACAGCAAGCTTGTAAACATATCTTAAAGGATAACTAAACCCAAGAATAAAAATGTGATATATGCCAGCTTACCACTCCTTAGATGTGGTGGCTGCATTAGTTTTCTTTCTTTAGGCGTTTTTCCCCTTTATTTTCCTGTGGTGATCCTGCCAATAACACACTTCCCGGCCTAGTGTGGCTTTGCTCACTACTCCACTGTATCTATATAACATGTGTTTTTCATGCATTTTTCATGAGCTCCCAATGAAGTCTATGGGGCAACAGATGCCCTCTTTAACATTAAAAGAAGCACCTGCACCATTTTCTGACTCACATGGAAACACTGCATAGGTGTGAGTGAGCCCCAGAGAAAGTGACAGGATTTTTTTGGTCACGTGACATCCGAAGTGCTTCAAATCCCGTGGGTGTGAAAAGGGGACTAAATGTATTCTGCTTCTAAACGTTTGGCAGTGCCAAGTAGTCTAATAGGTGTATTGGTTTCTAATAACCTGAAACACCCACAATGCCTTTGGTAGACCATGTGATGACCATTGAAATTGATGGCAGCAACATGTCTCTAAAAAGTTGGGACAGGGCCATGTTTACCACGGTGTAGCATCCCCTCTTCTTTTAACAACCCTCTGTAAATGTCTGGGAACTGAGGAGACCAGTTGCTGGACCTATTCGGTCCTGATATAGGATTCTATC